TAAAAAAAAATAGAAATTGCACCAAAAAATACCATTTAACAATTAAGCAGGGCTATCGGGAAATTATTTGAACCATCTGGAAGCAAGCAAGTTACCGGAAAAGTATTATTTTGAACCATTTGGAAGCAAGCAGGTTGCCGGAAAAGTATTATTTAAAACCATTTGGAAGCAAGCAGGTTACCGGAAAAGTATTATTTTGAACTATTTGGAAGCAAGCAGGTTACCGGAAAAGTATTATTTTGAACCATTCGGAAGCGATCATAAAAGAAATCAATATAAAAAACATTTATAAATCATGTTGAATTGATGTATGAAAAATGATATTATTGTTATTGAAATTATTAATCCTTCGAAATTATGCTACTGTTTAATTTTAGTTTAAAATAATTAAAAATATGGGAAGCTTGAATATTCTCAATAAAATCTTATGTACAAATAATCTATGAACATTTTAATGAAATATAAATAAATTCTTTGCAAAAAATTACACATTTAATAATATTTCAATTGGAAATTTACAATTTTACATAAAATATTTTGTTAGTTTATTTTTCTCGTTGAATGAAATCAAATAATTTGTAAATTTTTTATCTTCTATTTTTTCTCACTTCTTTTTTTCACTAATTCCATCCAAAATGATTGCGGATATCTCTCTTTCATCTACAAAAAAAAAAAAAAAATTTGATTCATTCTATTTTCATTACCATCTTCAAGCATATTTTGTTTTTTTTTTGTTTTTTTGGCAAATTTTAACCTTAGTACTATCAGCTATATTAGCCTTATTAGCCCAGCACAGTCCAATATTCAAACTTTGGACTTTGGTTTACTTTTAGGCTTCATGTTACTGGTCATACCTGTTCATTACTAGTAGCTTATATATTAGTATGATAAATAATGTTTATACTTTGACAGTAAGTTATGGATGAAACAGATATAATATTCGAGATATATTTGTAGTAAATAATCATATACTGTTATTACTAAACTGACCTGACCTTTAGTTCGATTTATCCAATATATCATATCTTAATTGAGTTAAAAAGAAACCACTGAATCGGTTTCTTTACAATGAGTTGTTATCAGCCAGGTGTTGCAAATGATTAGGTTGATAATATTTCATATATAGTAAACTGATAAATTAAGAATTTTTCGCTCTAAATTTATTAGGGAGAAATTAAAACTGAAAGTTCAAAGGACATTTTTTTTGGAAAATTGATTGAAATTAAAAACGATCAAATAAGCATTACTGTTCTAAACCATATTGTTGATAAGCATTACTGTTCTAAACTATATTGTTGATAAGCATTACTGTTCTAAACTATATTGTTGATAAGCATTACTGTTCTAAACCATATTGTTGATAAGCATTACTGTATGATATGTATTATATGTGTATGGAAGAAGAAGCAAAAATAATTGATGTAAATGAAAATTACACTGTATATCATCACTGATTACGGTCACTGATTACGATTATCGATCATCATCTGGATCCGTTTACCAAAAGAAAAAAAAAAGAGGAAGGGATTCATCGATTAAATTTTCCGGTTTATTCCCAATTACTTCAAAAGAATAAATCCTATGTTCATCATTTTTTTTTGTAGTTTATTTCTACTAAAATGGGATTAGAAATAA